GAGAACCACTGGGGGAAAGAGATACTTCGATTTCTGTCGTGTAGAGCAAACGCTAATGTGTATTACATCCAGGAGGGACTTGCAACTTTTCCTAAGCCTCAAACCCCAGAACACAGTGGCCGCAGCTCAGTTTTCTCAGCATTGAGTTAGAACAAGGACAGGTTTGCACAGATGGAGTGAGGTAGGGGTGCAGGGAGCATTGTTAGTCTCAGTGCTTGGCACATGCAGATGCTTGGTGATGGTGCTCCTCTATCCAAGGAAAACCAGGCAGGATTTGGACTCTTCTCTGCTCTCCATAGGCGACTGAGCGACAGCCCCTCAGTGAGAAAGGAAGGCGAACTGCCTCGCAGGATGAACTCAGCCTCCTCCTCCAGCCCTGCTGCCGAAGTGGACCCTGACACCATCCTGAAGGCACTCTTCAAGTCTTCGGGGACCTCCATGACCACACAGCCCACAGAATTCAAAATCAAACTCTGAGCAGGGGATTGAGGCAGCCAGAGCGGGGGCAGAGGAAGGAGGCTCTGTTCCCTGCGGCAAAGCTTGTGACCAATGGGCCATTGGACTGGAGCCCCCACATGTGGGAGGGGCTGCAGGGGTGACACGCTTCCTCGCTGGACGGACCCCTCCTCTGTGTTCCACCTTGTGCTCTCCTGTACGTTAACATCTCCCTTTCCCAATGTTCCCTCCTCCCCTCCACCTCGTCACCAAGGCAAGCTTGTTTCTCCGTGTGCCTCCCCCGCCTCGGCCCAGGCTGATTTCTTATCCAGAAATGGTGCACTACTTCACTGGGTGGCTTTCTTGTGGCTCTGTGGGATGCAGGACAGGGCATTTTGAGGGACACTGTTTTCTCCAGGGCTAAGGTGTTATCTCCCATTTCTGTTTTTTAAACTTTTAAAACAAAGCAGGGAATGGAACCCCCTGCCATCCTAACAGGATCCCTGTCAGCTTGTTAGCTGCACTGCTCACCCACCCAGTCACTGACCACAAGCACCTCTGGGCTGGACTGGTCTGGGTAGGGGCCCATGTCAGGGTGGGGCAAGGCTGCTGCTCTGTTGGGAAGAGCACACCCTAGCTCTGGGCAGCCTAGAACAGATGCTCAGAGGCCATGCTTCCCTTCCTGGATTTGGTCTGAGTGCCCCAGCCTGATTCTCTTGGCCTTCTGGGTGCCACTTTTGGGAGCCCTGCCTCTTTGGCCCTCCCATGTGACACCTGAGTTGGCACTCATAACACCTGGTTTTGGTGCAAATGCCAACTCTGCTGGCTGGGCCTTTCCAAGGTGCCACCTCCTATTCTGCACCTCTGGGTTCATTTGAATAGGAGATGCTGGCTTGTTCCAGCCCTTCTTTTCTCTCAGTTGTCTATAGGACAGTAGTCTGGGATGCTGGGAGGCATATTTCCAGCTGCCACCAAAGGGCACTGTCCTCACTATTTTGACCCATCTGTCAATGACCAGAGGAGTGTGTTCCTACCTTGACATTGAGGGACCTGGGGTAGGGGTGGAGGGAGCAGTGTGCCCACCAAGCAAGCCATTGGGCTGCCTTCTCCACGTGGTCCTCAGCAGTAGGGCAGAGCTCTGGCCTCAGCAGCAGTCCTCAAACACCAGGGCAGCATTGCACCTGCGTCATCCAGCATTCCCTCCTGCGTTGTCGGGACTGCAGAGGGAATCCAGGCTGGCAGCAAGCAGACAAGCAGGGTCCTGTGCAAAATCAAGGGTGAATGCTGTGAAAGGCCCAGGCTGGAAAGTACGGGGACCCTGAGTCACCAAAAGCCTGCCAAGTAGTACATGAGGCTCACCATGTGAGGAAAACCCTGGGGCTATATTTTGAGCAGTTAAGTCAGTTAGCAGGAGGGATCTATAGTTGGAACCCAGCTTGAGTCCTGCAGCTTTGAAGTTGCCCGGGCTGGGGAGGCCCCAGGAAAGTACCTGGTGGTGCTCCACTTCTCAGCTCTTTAAAGGATGCTTCTTCCCTTCTCTTACCTCCTCCAAATGAACGCAGACATACTTCTCTCTAGCAGCCAGAAGACATTCCTTCTACATTGTACTTCCTGGCCCAGAGAGCACCCAGAAGGCAGCAGGGCCTGTTTCTCAGGTGCTGGGCAGATGGCTCACTACTTGGGCTGTGCTAGAGGAGGGGTAGTAACCGTCCTGGCTGCACAGCCTCACTTTTCTTGGATTGCAGGCCAGGCGTGCTCTGGTTATCACTGAGCCTATTGGAAGCCACTGGCCATCTGAACCCTGTGGTCTGGATGGCCATGGGAGCGGGGGCACCTCCCTGCCTCTGCAGCTCTACAGGATGTCATCTTGGGAAACTGGGAAGAGAAGGTGGTGGGCCAATCCTTGTATCCTTCTCCACCTCCCTCTTCCCACATTACCCACCTGGGTCTCTTGTTAGAAAGGAGAGGAAGAGACATTAAGGGATGAAGGCGATTGTATTCTCCATTTCTGAATAAACGTTTGTTATTCCTATCTTTGAACTGTCATTTATTTTTTTATTTTTTTTGGAGAAGTTTTTGCTATAGGGTGCGTGCGCTCACCAGACAGAGACAGAAAGTGAGAAATCACCCCCCAGGGGGGATGGCCACGCCTCAATCCCTTCTCCTTCATTCTCCTCTCGTGATCTTGGGCACACATGCACACGCGGCTGGCATGAGTTTTAAGCCACCGGGTCTGGGATGCAAACCGTGGTTGCCTGTGGGAGTCCAGCGACATAGCCATTATGCTCCCTGCTGGTCCCGAGCTGTGTTTATTTTTAAAGTTGCATTTAGTGGCCATAGTGGGACTCGTACAGAAGACAGGACCTTACCTCTCTGCTGCTCACCAGCTGTGACCTTGGAGCATTCACTCACAGGCCTAGCCGCGCCTGCATCTCTGCAACCAAGAGAGTGTGAGCATTAAAGTCTTGGGTATTACATGTGGCCTGCGTAGCGTTGGGCAGTTGTTCAAAGGGAATGGGGGCCAAGTTAGCAGCCTTGGCTTTGATTTGAAGAGAGGTTACACTTAAGGCGTAATTTACCACTCAGATGAACTATGCTTTAGAGAAGAAATGAGTTGTTTATAGTTTTGTTACAGTATTAAGAGTGAACTATAAGTACTTGTATTACTTTCACTAAATACAACCATGACCTTTGTATAAAACAAGGCTGAAAGATGGAGAGAAGGAAGACTGGGTTAGGACCTCAGGGCCATGGACAGACCGGCTTTTCTGCTTCATATATCCTAAGCTGGGTGCTGGAGAAGACAGCAACCTGGAAATACCAATATATACAGAGCAGAAATCAAGTGTGCCCTCTAGCCAAAGATCGAGAGAAGTCTAAAGACACAAGTCCACCCAAACACCATGAAAGAAAATGCAGCCCCGTCTTCACCTGCAAGGGACTGTAGGGGCCGGTGGTAACAAGATGCCCAAGCAAGGCTTGATCCATGTGGAGGATCGTGGTTTTGGTTCCTTGATTAACCCATGCATTCTGGACATGCCTATGCCTTGACTGGCTAGGAAGGCTTGGCAGGGGTCCTGTTTGAGGATGCTTGTTTTTGTTTTTCTACTATGAAGGAGAATTTTTTTAAAATAGATTTTTGCTATAGGGCACATGCACTCACCAGAGAGACAGAGGAAGAAATCACACACACCCCCCCCCATAGGAGATGGCCATGTCGCAATCCCTTCTCCATTCTCCTCAGGATTTTGGGCATGTATGCACACACGTGCACCTGGCCTGAGTTTCAAACTGGGTCTGGGAATTGAAACGTGGTCAGCCATGTGGGAGTCCAGTAATGTAACCACTACACCATCACTAGTCGCTGGAGAATTTTTTTTTTTTTAAGAGGTTTTTGCTATAGGGCACATGCGCTCACCAGAAAGACACAGAAAGTGAGAAATCACCCCTTGGGGGGATGGCCATGCCGCAATCTCTTCTCCATTCTCTCAGGATCTTGAGCACGCACGCACACGCACCTGACCTGAGTTTAAACCACCGGTTCCGGGACTCGAACCGCAGTCGACTACATGGGAGTCCAGCGACATAGCCATTACACTAACTGCTGGTCCCCGCAGGAGAATTTTTAAAAGGCCGACTTGTGGGGCCAGCAGTTAGCGTAATGGCTATGTCACTGGACTCCCATGTAGTCAACTGCGGTTTGAGTCCTGGACCCGATGGCTTAAAACTCAGGCCGAGCACTTGTGCGTGCGTGCCCAAGATCCCGAGAGGAGAATGGAGGAGAAGGGACTGTGGAGTGCACGCGTCCTATAGCAAAAACCTCCCCAAAATAAAAAATGGAAGGCCGATTTGGGAGCCAGCAGGCTTCTTAAGCAGGCTGCTGTATTAGGGACACACAAACTCTCATCGGGGTGGTGTCAGAGAAGCCAAATAAGGAGCTGCGAATTTCAGCTGGTCTTAGTGAATGCCACGTGGGGAGGAAAGAGGAGACATTGCTTCACCTGCCAACCAGAGTGTTAACAGCAGGGACTGGTAGGGTAAGGGAACTCACCCCCTCCCCCGGCAGCAATGAGGAGACCCCCCCCAGCTTAGGTATCAGCAGATGTCGAGGAACGCAGTAGTACAGAGGTGGCTTCTTTCTACCCCTGCCAGTGCAGTGTCCAAGGAGCTGCGCCAAGTAAAACCTGGGGTCCCAGCAATGCCCAAGTGTCTCCGTTTCATTTGAAAACCACTCACACCAAGAGACAAGACATCTAGTTAGAGATACCAGAGGATTTTGTTTTTGTTTTTGTTTTTGCCGTAGGGTACATGTGCTTGCCAGAGAGACAAAAAGTGAAAAATCATCCCCTCCCCCCAGGGGGATGGCCACACCTCAATTGCTTCTCCATTCTTTTGTTTGTTTTTTAAAGAATTGTTTATTTTTTGGAGAGTTACGTATTTTTTTTTTTTTTTTTTTTTTTTTTTGCAAAACTCATCATGACTTTTCCGACAACCTGACAGATTCCTTTATAACCAGCTGTATGATCTTGACAAAATTAACT